TCAGCAGGATCTGCACTGTCGTGGCCATGCTATGGAGCAAGGCAGGTGGTCAGCAGGCACCCTCCCCACACCATCCCCATCAGGCCTCACTCCATGTGGGCGCCACCTTCCAAAACACTCCTATGAGTGCTCAGGCCATGAGCCCTGTCTTGTAGAGGGTGACACTGAAGCTGACCGTTAGTCCAGCAGAGTGGACTCAGACCTGGGCGACACTCATTGGGCTGAGCCCACCACCCACCCCTGGGGCCCTGGCTCCATCTCACCACTGACCACGCCTGGGGAGCTCCCATGGGGTCCCAAGGGTGCAGACTCTGGCCTGTGGCTCAATTCCTGTCCACCCCCAGGCTGGGCACCATGTCCATGCCCCACTGCCGCCCCTTCCCGAATTCTGTCACACATGCAATGCTGTGTGGGGCCAGCTGATCATCCCTTCAGTTCCCACGACCACTGTCTTCCTCTCAGCCCCCGACAGCTGTGATGGCTCACTACTTATGTGGCTGCTCATTCCCAGGTTTTCCTGCTGTAACATGACCCAACACCCAGAGCTGCCCCCATAGGAGCCTGAGAAACGCTTGAGGAATCCATTGCCTATCAGCCCTACACCACGACTGTTTCTGAGCTGCTGCAAACTCCTTTCTGGACTGAGGTGGGGCATAAACAAATATGTAACAAATGTGTGGTAACCAACTAACCAAGGAAAAGCAGGTACCAGAGAGCTCACGTGAAAGGGCAGTTGTGCCCTCTGAGGTCAGAGCCCTAAGCATGAGCCCTGCACACAGCACTTGAGATGTAGCATCAGCCCAGAGTCACCCCCATGGGTGGTGGTGGTGGGGGGTAGAGCTGACTGCACATTGCATTGGGCTCCAGCTCCCCAGCCCTGGAGTGTCCTGAACAAGGGTCAGCCTCTGGGGGAGAATATGGAAAGGCCAGGGCCAGAACACAAGGCCAGGGGGTAGCGGGGAGTGTACAGAAACCATGGGCAGAGACAAAGGTGCTTTCTGCTCTGCTGTCGGGAACAGAAGGTTTTCAGCCCTGGGCACTGTGCCCTTGCAACAGCAGCCCAGCCGTGCAGAAAGGAGTGTTCCTGGACCAAGAATAGGAGTTGCAGCCTGAATGGGAGGCCTGGGCCCCATGGATATCTCAAAGCAGCCCCCCACCTCACCATTCTCATGACTATGGCCAGAGGCCCTGGGCAGCCAAAGACTGGAGCGGCCACTCAGTCCTCCAGGCTGTCCGCCTGGGGCAGGGTGGATACTCGGCTCCCAAAGCAGGGTGGACACTCACCATGCCGCGCCGTCCCCCTGGAGCAGGGTGGGAACTCACCATTCCAGACTGTCCCCCTGGTGTAGGGTGCGCAGGGCGGCGTCTGGGTTCTGGTCGTGGAAATAGATGGAGGCAGCCATCAACAAGAAGGTGGTGTTGGTCACATCCACACTCCTGCTCATTTCTCGGTCCAGCTCAGCGACAATCATGTCCCTGCAAGACAAGATACTTAGGGTCTGCAGTAGGAAGCAGCCTCGTCCCTGCAGGAGCAGACAGACCCAGAGAATGAGAAAGGGCCCCAGGAGTGCACAGCAGCAGGAGGCAGAACAGGCACAGGTGTCTCTGTCTAGTCCCCCTGCGTGCTAGCCTTACCACTTTCCCATGAGGCACTTCTCACCCCTCACACAGACAGGGAAACCCAGGCTAGGCACTCCTGGCCTCGTGGGAAGATGTGGTGTGGGAAGGGCCATGTCCACCAAGCAGCACGAATGACAGCCCAAGGTACCCTGGCCCTCAGAACCATGGGGCTGTGTCTCCTCTGCCTCGGACACAGAGGAACAGGCTGACTCACTAGGGGCACTTGTGTGGGGACCTGAGGCTGCACAGGTAAATCTCACACCAGTGACGTTGCTACCTTCCTGAGGACTATGGTCCTGGCCCAGTGTGCCAGCTGTTCCTGGCAGCCAGGCTGCAGTCAGTACTGGGCCAAGGATCAACTGGATACTCTCAGAGCCCCAGGGGGCCCCAGCCAGTCTGCTTGACTGGAAAATGGAGCTGAGACCCCATGTTTCAAAGGACTGCTGAACAGTTGACGAGAGAAGGGAGGCGTGGGCCCAGCCCAAGTCACCACTGCTGTCCAGGTCCAGTCTCTACAAATGGGTACATGTCATGCAGGTGCTAGGAAAGAGCCCCTGAAGCCACTCCCTGAAGCTTCTGGCCTGGTCCCTGGTACACATGGTGTGGACGCACTGCCTGTTGTCATTGCAATGTTAGTGTTACATGGTGTTCCTGTCACATACTATAATTACCCTCACAGGGTCCTGTACCTTCTCCATCGCCTGCCTGCTTGGCTGTCTTTGAGGGGCAGTGGTTTGTGTTGCCGGGATGGACCCACCTCACATCACTGTGCTTTCCTGAATGCCCGCCCCGTGCCCCATGCTTCCTGGGATTCTTTTCTGTAATGCCACTGCTCCTGGAGGACCCAGGGGTTCTTTCCCCGTCCATAAGAGAATAGGGCTTGTCACTCTGGCTAGTGAAGTATAGAGTGGAAGAAATGATGGCCTCAAGAGGCCACTTGTCTTAGTGTCCTGGGGTTGCAGACATAAAGCACAGTGACCTAGGAGGATCAAAACAGGTATTCTCTCACTGGTGTGGAGGCCAGAGGTCCGAGATCAAGGTATCGGCAGGGCTGGCTCCTTTTAGAGGCTCTGATAGAGTCTGTCCTAGGTCTCTCTCCTGGTGCTGGTGGCTGCGGCAGTCCTTGGCATGTGTCTGCATCACCCCAATCTCTACCACTGTCTTCTCCTGTCTCCTTTCTGTCTCTTATGAGAATTCTAATCACTAGACTTATGGCCTATTCTACATGGAGAATGACCTCAAGATTTTTAACTACTTACATCTACAAAGACCCCAGTTCCATTGAGGTCACATTCAGAGGTTCTGGGTGCCAGGACACAGACATGTATTCTGGGGGGCCCATTCAGCTGCTACTGCTCACAAGCAAAGTCCCTGAACCTTGGGCTTCGAAGGTGAAGGAGCCTGATCACAGGAGGTGGTAACAGGGCACTGCCCTCCACAGAAGCAGAGGTGGGGGTCACAGGAGACAGTCTCGCCCATGGCCTCAGTGGCCCACAAGGGAAGCGTGGCATCACTAAGGTCAGGACCACATCCTGGTCTAGGAAGCTCCAGAGGGCAGAAACTGGGAAAGACCCCTTTGTGAGGCATCACAGTGCCTTGAAGGACGGCCCAGGGTGGTGGGTTCCTGGGGCTGGAACAGGGGCAGGGCACAGAGCAGAATGGCTCCCTATTGTGGGCTTTGGAGCCTGCTAGGTTGTGTGGGTTCTCCATGCACAGGTGGAGCAGGGTCACCTGGCTTCCACCAACAGCCAAAAAGCATGAGCTCATGTGCACCCGGGTGAGCATCCCTGTGGCAAGGGAACAGCCTGTGAAAATGTGAAGCAGGAACTGCCTGCAGCCCGCAAGTTGAGTGGCTAAACACAGGTAGATCTAGTCCTGGGGAGACTGGTCCTGGCCCGGGCCCTAGTGTAAGCAGGCAAGACCCACCCTGCCCTCCCTGGGCCACAGGAGGGTGTGGGGTTTATGGGTCCCCACATCCCCTACCCCAACCTCCCCTGACTACTGCCCTCAGGAAAGCTTAACAATCATTGGTCTGCAGTGGGCTGCTGAGGTAGGCCCATAGCCCAGAGTGACCTGACCCCCATCTTGGGGAGACGATTAGCAGGTGGTATAGCCACCTCTTTTGTCAGGCTGAGACTACCCTCTGCAACACCCAGAGCCATACATTCAAGGAGTCCCTCAGAGTGTCTGATTCCCCAGACCCCTTAGAAGCTGGACCATCATCGCCCTCCACTGGGCAGTTGAGGGAAACCAAGGCTCTAGGAGGTGAGTGGGCAGGGAAGAGAGACAATCCCCACCCCATCCTCACCTCTGGCTATCGCTGGCCAGGTACTCCGCAAACATGCGCACAGCCTGGAGCTCAGGGGCCGAGGAGGGCTTGATCTCATCCAGGACCACGCCATACTTCCTCTGTGGTGAGACAACCATGCTGTCAGCTCTATCTGCCCTCCCCTGCCATGAGGTTTACATATTCCCAGCCCCTGGAACACAGAGAGGCTCCAGCATCACCCTGGTGAAGTCCTAACGCCTGGGGCCAGCAACCACCACCTCCACTCAGAACTCTGTTCCTTATTCTCCCATCTCCAGGGACACTGGGAGTCAAAGAACACGCTCACCTGTGCGAGGTACGCTCTGTACAGAAAAACGTCTCTTTCCACGTCTCTCTCTGGGCTTGATGGCTGTGGAAACAGGCGGGTCAGGATGCATGGGGTCATGTGCTGAACAGGTCTCAGAGGCTAGGAGCTTCCCTGGTGGAGTCCAGGCCCTGGCTCTCAGCGGCCTGTGATCTTGGGCCGCAGGAAAGAGACCTCTGCACATAGCACGGTGGGCAACTATCTGATCTTGTTCTACCCCAACTTCACTCCGGGAAGGAGGCTTGTCACCCCTGTTCATCCAGGTGAGGAACTAGGCACCAATGAGAGTGCAACAATCACTCTAGCCACATAGCAAGGGGATGAATGATGCTGGAGAATAGATGGGACCTGGGTGGAGATGTGCGAAGGAGACTTTACTTTCTGTAACGAATAATTCAATGCAGCTTCTTCCTGTCCTTTTATTTCAAAACATTCTTTAAACATGACACACAGAAGAGATTAAGGTTCACCTCGCTCAGAGAGTTCAGATCTGCTGACCTGGCACAGTGACATCTGTGTCCAGCCTAGGCCAGGTGAGACCTCAGGAACCACCCTGTGACTCAGGGAAGAGGTCCACAGGCTGCACCCCACACCACCTTCAGTAAAAAAACCTGACACACGCAGGCTGGCTCTTCAAAGCAAGGACACAGTGGGACATCCTGAAGGGGACCCTGGGTCTCAGAAGCGACTCTGAGCCTCAGCTGTAAAACTGGCACTACCAACAACCCCACAGAGCTGCTGAGGTGCCACCGAGATGCCTCATGCTGATGCTCAGGAACCCCTCAATCAGCTGGATTAAGTAAAGCTTCTGGGAGGTGTAAGGACAAAGGCAGATGTACAGAACAGGGGCACCTCAGGAACCTTGATGCATGACACCAACTGAGCGCTCTAGTCCCCAGTCCCAACAGCTTATCAGAATCACCTGGGAGCTCAGAAACCAGCCATGCCAGGAGGCCCATGCCTACCAATGCCACCCAACACCAGGGTGGTCCTAACCTGTTCCCAGGCAGTGCAGAGGTGCAGCCAGGCCTGAGAACATGAGGTACTGTCTGGGGAAGCCAGTGATGAAGTGGGGGTGGGGGAGTGCATCCCCTCCCCTTATTGTCCTGCGGCCATCAGAGTCACCTAACCACACTAGATGGTCAACTCCTCAAGGTTTTCTGCTCTGTTTCATCCCCAATACCTGGATAGTGCCTGCCATCTTGTGGGCATTTGAGAAATGTCTGACAAATGGGGACATGACCGTGACACAGTGCTAGGACACACCAGTGTTCTATCTAAGTCCACCTCAGGTCTGTCTGAGGTTGCTGGGGCAGCTGTAATGAACTACCACAAACTGGGGGCTTAAAATAGTACAAACTTATTCTCTTACAATCTCGGAGGCCAGAAGTCCAAGATCAAGGTGACGGCAGGGCCGCACTCCCTCCAAAGGCTCTAGAGAATCCTTCTTTGCCTGTTCCAGCTTTGGTGGCTCCGGGCATTCCTTGGTTTATGGCTGTTATCATCTCAACCTCTGTCTCCATCTTCTCTGCTTGCCTCAAACCTCTCTCTGCCTTTCACTCAGAAGGACACCAGTCATTGGATTTAGGGCCTTCTTAAATCCTGGCTGATCTCATCTAGAGATCTTTCACTGAATTATGTCTGCAAAGGCCCTTTTTCCAAATAAGTCACATTTACAGGTTCTGGGTGGACATATCTTTTTGGGGATAGCATTCACTGCAGTACAGGCTGTTCAAGAGGCTTAGGTGCCCCATGGAACAAAATTAAATCACATCAGATGGCTGCGCAGGGATAGTGCTCCCATTCTCTGGATGTGTCAGGAACGTCTTGGTCTGATGCCAGCGCATCTTTACCATGTCACCAAAGAGGGTGCATGTCTGAGGCTCAAAGGCTGGGTCAAATGTGCCTCCAGCCAGAGTGACTGGTATGGTTTTCAGTCACTTTCTACATACAGAAGGTCATGCTCATTCTTCCAACAGCAAAATAAAGTTTGCATATTATGATGCGAAAAGACTCAAAGGACACATTACTATGATGTAAGCACAACAGACACACAGCAGAAGCTGAAAAGTGGAATGTGAGTGCGATGCTAAATCTCATAGTAACCCTACTGAGATAAGTGTCATCGTTCCCGTTTGGCAGAAGGAGAAACTGAGGCTCAGCCCTGGTTACAGAAAGAATACAGGAGAGCCAGAATATGAGCCAAAGTCTATCTCAATCTTCTCACAGTCTACACTACCCCAGCAAGGAAGCATGTACAATTCTGGTGGCAGGCTGAATAAGGCTCCCCAGAGATGTCCATACCAGTCCCTGAGACCTGTGAACAGCTTACATACATCACCAGAGGGACTTCAAAGATGTGATTCAGGTTATGAACTCTAAAATGAGGAGAATGTGCCAGTTATATGGGAGGGCCCAGTCTAATCACAGAAGCCCTTAAAAGCAGAGACTAGGCAGAAGAAATGCAGCAGAAAGGATATTCAAGAGACTCCAAGTGTGAGAACCCCATGCCTGATTCTGAGATGGTAGGGGAGGCACATGCGAGGTTGAGGATCGGAGAAAAGCCTCTGGGAGCTAAGAGGGGCCCCAGGCAGAGCACCCACAATCTCAATGAGTTTGGAAGCAGCTTATTCCCCAGAATCACCAGAAAAGACACAGCCTGGCTGACACCTTGATTTTAGCCTGGTGAGAGACATCCACGTTGAACTTCTAACCTATAGGAACCATGAGATGATAAATCAGTGTTGTCTTGAGCTGTTTATGGTAAGTTGTCAAGGCAGCAACAGAAAACTAATACAATCAAGCAAATGTCATCTCAACAAGTCCTAATGGCTTCCTGAAGTGTTTAAGGTTTTATCCCCATTATGCAGATGACGCTTAGGGACAGAGGGTTCACAGTCGAAGGCCAAAAGCATAGGAAGAAGCAAGCCTTCTCTACTTCAGAGTCTAAATTCCTCCCAAACTTCTGGCTGCTTCTGTGAAGATGTCTGCCACTCCCCTGCTTGATGTTGATGGCCTCCCATGCCTTTGGAATAAAATCCAAACCCCTGCTGTAGTTCCCAAGGCTCTGCCCACCTCATTCTCCATCCTCCCTCTCACCACTCCCCAACTTCTGCTACACCAGCCTCTTATGCCTTGACTACCCTGAACTCACAATTGCCTCAGCACCTCTGTAGCAACCTATGGGGTTAGATGCTTCTCAAGGTTCAGTCTCCGGTCCAAATGACAGAGAAGTATGGCCTGATGGGACCACTCCCATGTGAAGCAGCACACTCTTCTCAATCACCAACTCAGCATTTTTTATCTCCCTTTGCCCACACACAGCACTCAAGTTCAAGTTGTAATACGTATTCGCTAGCTTCTTTACTCATTTACTCTCTTTGGAACATTAGGCTGTGGAGGCAGGTAAAGACCCTGCTATGTTCACTGCTCTTAAAAATTCTCCAATGGTTCACTCTCAAAGTGAGTAAAGCTCACGTCCCTCACTAAAAGGCTTCTGTTGCCCCCTCTCTTGTCACCAGCTCCTCCCCAGATGGGTCCTGTCTGCAGGTTTATTTTCTAGCTCATTCCAACTACTCTCCATTACATCAACTCCCGACTTCTTGTTTATTTACTCACTTATTCGTTTACTGCTTGTCTCCCTTTCAAGGATGAGATTCGTGAGAGCACGAATACACTGCCTGACCCATAGAGATGCTCACTGAGGAATGAATGAATGAGCGAGTTTGGGGAGAAATAACTGGGCTAGTGGGGCAGGGTAACGACGGGGAAGCCATTTCTCTCTTGAGTGTCAGTATTCTCAACTGTAAAATGAGGATAAATAGCCTACTTCACGGGTATTGAGAGTATGGCGGCATAGTGTGAGCGTTCAACAAATGAGAATTACTGCCATCATTAATACTATAGTGGCATAAACGACTTACTCAAATGCTTTCCAGTGCGCAGCTCTGAGTATAAATTGCTACTGCTTTGTATTCTGTCATAAGACAAGGATTAACTCCTCACCGCCTTTGAAGAGATGCGTAGGGGGGAAATGCCGAGAGAAGAGTTTTCAAAATCAGAGTGCGACCCACAGCCACTAGGAAGCGTCTCCCACCTCCGCCCCCAGCGTCCCGCGCGACCCAGAGCGGCCGCACCTTCACCCGCTGCGCCTCGTTAATGCACTGCTGATAGCTGCCGATGTAGAAGGCGTTCTTCACGTCGAACAGCTCATCCACATCCCCGGAGCCGCCAGAGGCTGTACCAGGTGCCGGGGGCGCCATGTCGCTATGATCTCACCCACTCCTCTTCTTGAGGAACACGTCGGCCGGAAGCAAGGAGCCACTGCCGGGCAGGCCGGGAAATGTAGTTTACTCATTCCGGCCGGGAGAGGGGCCAATGGGAGATCCCTAAACGGGAATAAAGGGGTGGGAGACATAAGTGCGTCTCGCACAGCATTTCGGGAATTGTAGTTTGACTTGATCCTGCGAGCCAATGGGATTCGGGAAACATGGAAGGTAGTAGAGGTTGGGAATGGCCGAAAGAGATGATGAGGGCGGGAACACGCACGAAGCGGATCCAATGAACAGGAAGGTTTTAGTAACGTCATTGTTACGCGCCGGAAGCGCGGCTCACAGGGGTTCGGAGGCTGACGACAAGGATGCCCGGGTTCGCGGAGCTCGGGCTGTCTTCGTGGCTCGTGGAACAATGTCGGCAGCTGGGTTTGAAGCAGCCCACCCCTGTGCAGCTTGGCTGCATCCCCGCTATCTTGGAAGGTGAGTATACCCCGGCCACTTCCCTAGGAAGCGTCCCCGCTCCTGTCGCCTCCCTTCTCATTACCCACGTTGGTTCTGCGAGGCGAGGGGCAGCCTCGGGCATTTCGGAGAGCCTGGGTTCCGGAGGCAGACTAGGCTGTGTTGGCGTTTAGGCAGCACAGCTGACTTGCTGCGTGTCCAGGCACAAGTGATGTAGCTTCTGAAACTTTAAATTTCAGTGCTAAGGGATGGTTTGGTGAATGACTAATCGATAGTACTGGGAAAATTGAGTAGATCTTACACCACTATCTTTATTTTCCACATGGAGACCGAGGCCGTCGAGGTTACCGGTAGATCCAGGACTCTGGTTCCGTGACTGCCCTTCTCCCCATTCTTCTGGCCCAACCCAGTTTTGCCATTGCAGAGATGCCCTCAGGAATCCTAGGACGTGGCAAGTTTAGAGATTCAACAAGGTGAAAGAATCAACAGGGAGCGTAAGATGCAGATTGGAGGAAGGCATTCCAGGTTCCCCAAGCTCAGATGCTGGGATAGGGTCGTCAAAATGTAGCAGTGGTTAGTAGCATCTTGAGTCAAAATGATGTGGGTTCCAGTCCAGCCTGCTACTCACCAGGTATGTTCCTGGACACATCTCTGAATCTCAGTTTCACCTGTTAAATGGGAATGATAACCGCCTCTCCCTTCTAGAATTTGTCAGCTTCCCACAATGGAAAGTTGTCAGTATTCCCAGAATGGAAAAGGCATAGGCCAGTACTGGGCACACAGTAAGCGCTCATTAAATGTTAGCTGTTGTAAAAAAAAAAAAAGTTAGCTGTTGTAAACTGTGCTTGATGGAACACCTGTCTACACCTAAACTGTGTTGTTTTTTTTTTTTTTGCCTTTTGCCCAGGTCGGGATTGCCTGGGCTGTGCCAAGACAGGCAGTGGCAAGACGGCAGCATTTGTCCTGCCCATCTTGCAGAAGCTGTCTGAGGATCCCTATGGCATATTCTGCCTTGTCCTGACACCCACCAGGTGAGCCCCCAATAGGCCTCCTGGGTGAGTTAACCAGCTGTGTTATCTCGGGCAAGTGTCTTTACCTCTCTGAGCAGCACTTTCCCTGGGTGCAAATTGGGAATAGAAATCATGCCTCCTGTTGACTCAGGGAGTATAGGGCTTGACTCAGGGAAAGCGCTGGCTGGACAGGAGTTGTCAATAGTTTTGTAACTCAAGAAATAGGCATATTGGGGTGGTTTCAAAGTCTAGTGGTTAGCACGTCTGCTTTACACGCAGAAGGTCCTGGGTTCGAGCCCCAGCGAAGCCACGGCCCATACCCCGGGCGCGCCAGGCCCTAGTTGGGCGCCACGAGCTTATGGGAGGAGACGCCTTCAGAGATCCAGTTCTTAAGGAGAGACGTCAACATCTATAGGTCTGGGGTGGAAGTTGTGTGTGTGTGTTGGGGGGGGATTAAAAAAACTAAAAAATTAAAATTAAAAAAAAAATAGGCATATTTCCTGTTCTTGGGCAGGTAGATGTGGCAAATGACATAAGTTTTGTAATGACAGTAGGAGAGGTAGGCAGTGCAGATTTTGAAGATAAAGCCTGGGAATGGGTGGGGTCAAGGAAGTCTTCAGTCAAGGGTGCCTTAAAGGATGAGAAGGGTCTCTCAAAGGGACAAGTTTGGGAAAAGGTCATTTAGATAGGGAATGCTAGCGCACCATGCAAAGGTGTGATAAGCAGGAAACAGAAAGGGTCCTGGGAGCTGGGCATATTAGAGCCATTTGAGGAGAACCTCAAATGCCAGATTAGAATTGATTCTGAGTAGCGTGAGCAGGAGCGGGCAAAACAAGAAGCCATGAAGTGGGGACATGGACCGAAGAGAGGCTTGGTTGGAGCTGGGGCTGAGGGACAGAAGAGAGGACTTGAACACTGACTAGCCCTGGGAAGGTGGGGCTGATTCTCGGGTTTCAGGCTTTAGTGACTAGTGTCAAGGCCATTGCTGAGGACATGGGAGGAGGAGAGGCCAGTTTCAGTAAGGCTGGTGGGAGAGGGTTCATAGGTGGTTCTGGGGCCTAGTCTGGTGAGGGGCAGAGTCCACACAAGCCCTCCGATACCCAATGTCACAGCTTTTGCCCAAAGGGGACTGGGAGCTGTAGAGGGCATTTGAACAGGAGAGAGTGAGTCAGGAGGCCCTGGGGCTGGAGGTGGAAATGGGAGGCAGGCATAGAACCCCTGTCTGACCCTGCCCTGCTCCTTCACCCTCACAGAGAATTGGCTTACCAGATCGCAGAGCAGTTCCGGGTCCTGGGGAAGCCTCTGGGTCTGAAAGACTGCATCATTGTCGGCGGCATGGGTATAGGGGTCTCAGGGATGCTCTGGGAGTGGGACCCCATAGCCTCAGACCACCTAACCAGCCCCACCTCTCTACCTTTAGACATGGTAGCCCAGGCCCTGGAGCTCTCCCGGAAACCACATGTGGTCATTGCCACACCAGGACGCCTGGCTGACCACCTCCGCAGCTCCAACACCTTCAGCATCAAGAAGATCCGCTTCCTGGTGAGTTGGCCTAAACACTGATTCATCCACTTGGGAAATGTGTCCCACAGGCCATCAAGTAGGGTGTTAAGAATGTGACAAAGATAGCTCAGAGACTCACAGAGGTGGCCTGTATCAGGAAAGTGGTTGGGAGCAGGGCCTCTCTGAGGAAGTGACATTGGAGCTGAGACAGGTGAGGGACCAGGGCCTCTAAGACATCAAGGGAAAGTGCTCCCAGCCCCACAGCCAGAACTGGTAAGGAGATACATGGAGGAAGCATGCTGGCCTTGCATAGCGCCCTAACCCCAAACTTCCTGCCCCTACCCACTGCTTCTGGCACTGCAGGTGATGGATGAGGCGGACCGGCTATTGGAGCAGGGCTGCACTGACTTCACCATGGACCTGGAGGTCATCTTGGCAGCCGTGCCAGCCCAAAGGCAGACACTGCTCTTCAGCGCCACCTTGACCGACACGCTCAAGGAGCTGCAGGGCCTGGCCACCAACCAGCCCTTCTTCTGGGAGGCACAGGCCCCGTGAGTCCACAGCTACATTTGGGGCAGGGGAAGACAGGCAGGAGGTATGGGGGTCACATCCAATGGAGGTTATTGCTCATGGTGGGGGCAGGGCATTGGCTGAATTCAACAGAGGGGAAACTGAAACCCACCCATCCCCAGGGTGCGCACAGTAGAACAGCTAGACCAGCGCTACCTGCTGGTGCCTGAGAAGGTCAAGGATGCCTACCTGGTCCACCTGATCCAGAACTTCCAGGACGAGCATGAGGACTGGTCCATCATCATCTTCACCAACACATGCAAGTGAGCGTGGGTGCCCTCCCCCCATAGCCCTTAACAGAGGCCTGAGAGGTGGCCTGAGGTCACAAGTGACAGGCACACAGCCAGTCTCAGCACTCCAGGGCCTTTGCTCAGACCAGAGGTTTTGGAGGATTCACTCAAGGAGGCTCAGAGAGATCAAGCAACTCACTGAAGTTACCACTTCTAAAGGCAGAGCCGGGATTTGGGGTTCCGCAAACCTGCACTTAACCTGAAGGATTAGTGGCCTCAGGCTGTCCCCAGCCTTAGAGCAGCCTATCTGTTGTGGTCTTAGGGTGTCACTTGAAGCCCAGCACAGCAGCACACACACCTGGGGCTGTCCTTCCTGCAGTCCCAGGGGACTTTAGAATTCTCTGAAGCATGTGGCAGATTGTTAAGAAGCTGTAAGGTGTTCTAGCATGAGCCAGTAGATGGGCAGTGCACACCATATAAAGGGGGCCTCCTAACTGATGCCATCCCCCAAGAATTTATTGGCTTCTAGAAGAGAAAAGTCTGGACGTGGGGCTGACTCTTTGTTGGCTTGGGCCAGGGGAGGAGCCAGTAAAGATAATGTCAGCAGGCAAGACTGCTACCTGGTCCACCTGATCCTGCACCTCTGCCTGTCCTTTCCCATCTGTGCAGGGCCATCTGCTTGGGGTCCCGGGCAGGGGCGGGAGCACCTTCCCAGGACCCCAGAGCTGGAGGGATTGACAGCATGTCCTTCCCGCCAGGACTTGCCAGATCCTATGCATGATGCTACGAAAGTTCAACTTCCCCACTGTGGCCCTGCATTCTATGATGAAACAGGTGAGGAAAGCGCCACCTGCCAGCCTTGCCGAGACTCCTCCCAGCCTCAGGGCCTTTGCCCATGCTTTTCCCTCTGTCTAAAATGCTCTTCCTGCCACCCCATCTTCCCCGGTGTGGCTATCTCACAGTCATCTCTCTCACTGGATTGTGAGCCCTGTTAAGGCAGGACCATCCTAGCCTTCACCCTGTCCCCAGACCTCATACAATCAGTGCTCAAACGATTGCTAGAGTGCTTCCCGGCCCCCCAGAACCTGCAATTCTCTCCTCGACCTGGCACAGAAAGAACGCTTTGCTGCCCTGGCCAAGTTCAAGTCCAGTATTTACCGGATCCTGATTGCAACAGATGTGGCCTCCCGGTGAGCATCCCAGGGTACTCCCTCTCATGTGCTGGTTCGGTGACACCCCTACCTACAGAGGGGCCAGAAAGGGAGGCTGGTTTTAGGCAAGGGTTGGGCGGCCCCAGCTTCACTGCTGAGTGACCTTGGATGAGTCCCAGCCTCAGTTTCCCCATGTGGACAATGGCGCTGACCGGCTTCTGCCTCCAGGGGCCTGGACATTCCCGCAGTGCAGTTGGTCATCAACCACAACACCCCTGGGCTTCCAAAGATCTACATCCACCGAGTTGGCCGGACGGCCCGTGCAGGTGAGCAGACAGGGTGGGGTGGCCTTTGGGGACCTGTCCCTCCAGCCTACCCACACCATGAGGAGCCAGAGTCATCAGCTAGTGGGACATTGGTGGGTTGTTGGGGTGGGGTACAGCTCACAGGTGAGAGATGTTAGTCAGTGTTTGCAAACTTGAGGAATTGTCCTTTCAAAAGCCAAGGACACGGGTACTTTGACTTCTTCACGTGACCTATACACTATCTCCTGGGGACACGGCACACCCTGCCCTAGTCTTCACCACTTCCTGTTGCCTCACCCCAGTCCCCTTCACCTGTCAGGGCTGCCAGTCAGGACCTAGCAATGAGTGGTAGCATGAGTCTTGGTGGCTGTGATGTTGCCCTGTAAGATTTGGTGTCTGTGTTTGGCCCCTCACTGTGACCGTGGCCAGGGACCAAGGAGGCATCCATCTCTCTGCTTCCCAGCCCTGCCAAGGAGAGGCACAGCATTTGTGAGGTTTTCTCGTGCCTGGAGTGGAGAGAGATGTGGTTTCTGGGGCTGGACTGGGACTGGCCCTTCTCTCTTGCCCTATGGCCTGAGGCAGGTCCCATCAGCTCTCTGGGTCTCACTGCTTTATCAAATGATGGGTAATGAAACAGTGATGCCAGTTTAGGGCTGCTCCAGGAGTCACGAGCCTTATTAGCTATCAGTGTTGGTCCAGCACTAGTCACTGTCACAGAAATGGGGAATGGAGAATCTGGCATGCAGAGATCTGGGCTGAGGCCTCTCAGGACTTATTGCTGACATTACTCAGCTTGAGCTCCTTGGTAGCCATGCCCCAAATCAGCCACATTGCCAGCCCCCACGCGGGGCCAAACTGGCAGGAGAGCCATCTCTGCCTGGTGTCCTGCAGCTTCTCTGGGACTGACTTACCTACTATACAGAGGTCTGGCTGGTGTCAGGCCCTGATACTAGGCTTCCTTCACCTGTCCCCACCTGCTCACCAAGTTCTCCCCTCAGTTGAGAGGAGCCTTGACCTGCCTCTGTTGGTCCCTCCTGGCCCACGGCACAGAGGTAACTGGTTCATCCTCACAGGGCGGCAGGGACAGGCCATCACACTGGTGACACAGTATGACATCCACCTGGTACATGCCATTGAGGAGCAGATCAGTGAGTAAGGGGGCATGGGGTGTGATACCCACATGCCTTTTCACATGAGCAGACTTAAGCTGTGCTTTCCTTATGCAACCCCCCAAATTGCCTAATTATTGAAACAGGGTCCAGTGGGGAAGCTCCCAACATGGCTGTTAGCTGCCACAAGCCACATCCAGTGGGCAGGGACTTTGATTTCTGAGATCAGGCTATGTCGGATGGTTTCTGTGGATGGGTCAGAGGCCTCGGGGACAGGGCCTGGGCCTGTTTAAAACCTCCCTCGGGTGGCTTAATGTGTAGCCAAGACCAAGAGCCACTGAGGCATCTTCAGTCACCACACTGACTGTCCTAAAATTCAGAAACACCCTGACTTTAAAGGACACTGTATCAAAAAACAAACAAAATTTACTCCTAGTCTAAGTCAGTGTTGGTAACCACACAAAATGCAGTTTATACTTTCCTTAGGTCTGAAATCCCAGGTTTTGCCTACCTGACTTTTATCTGATATGACCCTGGACCCCTTGCATTCCCCACCGCATGGGGAACTCACTATATAGCTGAATTTCTTCTTCTTGTCATGTCTGCCACCACCCCACCCCGCCATCCCCCGGGCCCCTGCTGTCCATACAGAGAAGAAGCTGGAGGAGTTTTCTGTGGAGGAGGCTGAGGTGCTGCAGATTCTCACACAGGTCAACGTAGTGCGAAGGGAGTGCGAGATTGTAAGTGTCAGGGAACTGAGCTGGTCCTGGGGCACAGGGTGATCCCTTCCAGATGGGGACCCCCATAACAGCTTATCCCTACCCCACAACCCCAGAAACTTGAAGCAGCCAACTTTGACGAAAAGAAGGAAATCAATAAGCGGAAGCAGCTGATCCTGGAGGGGAAGGTGAGGACTGGGCTGGAAGGTGGTAGGGCAGAGTTCCCAAGGTGAGGAGAATGATCAGCTCAGCTACCTTCTCATCCTCCCTGAGCCAGGACCCTGACCTAGAGGCCAAGCGCAAGGCTGAGCTGGCCAAGATCAAGCAGAAGAACCGGCGCTTCAAGGAGCAGGTGGAGCACACGCTGCAGCGGCAGAAGGCCAACAGAGCTGGCCAAAGGGGGCGTCCACCCAGGGCCCGACCTGAGGCCCATTCGGCCTCAGCGCCCATCCAAGGCCCAGCCTGAGGCCCACATGGCCCCTACTTGCCCAGTTTGGGACTCCTTCATCGAGCTGAGGGTTAGAAGGTCCTCCCTTGGAGACAGTCCCCCTTTCCAGCCTGCCCACCCCCACTCAGCAGAGCCCATGGATACCCACATTATGCATTACATGGCTGCTCTTTCCTGCAGCCCCAGCTGGTCCCTTTTCAGAGCCTTGGCCAAGAGTCAGGCTGCAGAGGAGGAAAGAACACTGGCCATGTGGTTGCATCCAGCTCCACACAGTGACCCCAGCCCATGGTTACCACAGGGGGTTGCTGTGGGGCCCCAGAGTGAGGGTATATCACTTGTAGGAGGAACTCAATAAATGAGTTTTTTTTTAACTTTCCTGGTCTGACTCTTGGTGTAGGGGCAGGGGAAGAGGGTATGGCTGTCTGTGCCTCTCAGTTCCCCCAGAACCTCATGTCACTCTACCCCACCCCCAGGTCTCCATTCCCACTGGGCCAGGCCCAAAGCTTTGAACTACAGTGCTGGCTGTTCTAGCTGGGTGACCTTGAGTTGGTGATCCCCTCAGGGCCTCTGTTCCCACATCTGGAAAATGGGCATACCATCTACACCTCTCCAACTGCGGCCATGAGGTTGGTCAGATCATCCCCTTGGTGAATATGGCTGTAGTCTAGGAGTTTCCCTGCATGCGCACTTTGTCAAATGTGGGATTTGTAGCCAGAGTGAAGGTGGGATTAACCAGGGGCAACCAAAGTCCAACCTGGTCCAGGCACTATACACCGAGCCCCAGGAGATGAGGAAAGCAGGGCCGGGCAGAGCTATGGGGACTGGTCACACCCAGCAGGCTCTGAGCCTCACCCTGCTCACCTGTCAGTGGCTTCCCAACCCTATGTGATGGAGGGCAGCTAAGGTGCACCTGGGGAGGTGGGAGTGGGCCCAATGATGGCATTGAGGTGCCCGGGTGCCCATACACCACACACACACAGCCACGCTTAGAAATGTAATCAGGGCACCAGCACATGCCCTAGGGAGTCTAGAAATCCTACATAATGAAAAGCCCAAAACAGCCCCTGAGCTGTGAGTGGCCAGGCCCTCCCTGGGCTGAGTTGGCCCTGGTCCCTGCCAGGGTGAATGGCCTGTTGTGCCGCCTGCGGCTGGCCTGTGCCCCAGGTGGGAAGCATTTGTGTAAAACCCCCTCCCACAGGCCCCAGCTTCCACATGGACCAGTGGCCAGGCTCAAAGCTCAGGGGGTGCCCTCAGCCAGGCGGGCCAGGCCCTCCCGAAGCTCGCTCAGCTCGAACAGCCTGACGTCCAGCAGCTGTGCAGCCCGGCCCACCTCGGCCCTTGCTCGTTCCCTTTCAGCCCGTGCCTCCTCGAGGCTGCGCTCCATTGCCCGTAGCTGGTGCTCCAACTCTGTGTTTCGGGTCTCCAGATCCTGCAGGGAGAGGGTAGGCAGGGTTGGGGGCCCTCAAAAGTGTCCAAGGGCATCCAGCATCTGAGTGCTATCCCCATATAGACCCCCCTCTGGGCCAAGCCCCCTCCACATCTTGGCCCCCCTCTGGGCCAAGCCACCTCCCTGCCTTCTGTGCCCAAGACACTCCTTGGTCCCTGGCCAATTCGAAAATTATAGAACTGATCACGTCCCTCTTCTGAAAACCCTCCTGTGACCCATCAGACAGGATGAAATCCACACCACTCCCTCCTCCATTCTCATTCCAACTCAGCCTCGCAGGCCTCCTTGTGGCTCCTTGAACATACTGATGTGCTCCCTACCTTAGGGCCTTTGCACATACTGTGCATGCTGCCCAGGAGATAATGGGGAGCATTTCCCCAACTTCTCTCTCCCTGGGACGCTTTTGGGGGTCAACATATCGTTGAACACCTCCACCTGCAGACTCACAGGACGTGCCCCATGAACTTTTCCTGGATAAAGTCTTTAGCGAAAGCCAGGCCAGCCAGCTCTGGTTCAAATGCAAATTCCTGACCTCAGGTTGGGGATGTGCTGAGGCCTGGATGGCATCAAATGCTGGAACTCAGCAGACTCAAAAATTACTTGTTGAATATAAAATATTGTACCAACAACACCATTTACAAAATACCTCAGACCTTCCATGCATCTGGTCTTCCCAATCCTTTACAACCTTAGGTAGATGTCTTCCTGACCCCATTTACAGGTAGAAAAACTGAGACTCAGGGGGACCTGCCAGGTAGGGAAGATCCCAGGCCTGTCCAACACCAGAGGCCGGCTGCCCATACGTGGTCACCCCATCCCCCAGCAACCACACACACCTGCACCTTCTGCTGTGTCTCTTCCCGTTCCACTGCGTCAAGGGCCTCGCGGGGCCCACCAGCCTGGCTCTTCAGTGTCTGGATCTCCTAGTGGAGAAGAGTTCCCAGGGTCTGTTCTGGAGATCCTAGCCGCCCCCCATGGGAGGTCAGGGAAGGTGAGGCGTGGGGACACACACATGCTCACACTCTTAGTGCTCACCTGATCCTTGGTTTGCACTAGAGCTTCCAGTTGCTCCACAGCCTGGCCAGGTCCCTCCTTCTCGCTGACTGGGGGTGGCTCTGTGGCTGCCTGGGCCTCCAGCTCAGCCACCTGCGTGGACAGAAAGGTCAGCCACTCCCTGGGGAATCTGCCTCCTGCTTAGTTCCACTGAGACTAAGCATTCACCATCCCCCTGGTTGGACCTACCACCCAACCCATGGCAGGAAAGACTTTAGGGTCTGACACCCTTCTGAGGTTCATTCTATTTCAGACCCATTTTACAGAGCCTGAAACTCTTGAGGCTCAGGGAAGTGACCTGCAGAGATCACACAGCCACTCTGTGAACCTAGACAGGACGTGAGGAGGCTGGGGCTCCACAGATGCCCGAGACGCTTGGAGTCTCTGGGAGAGAGAGGTCCCCTCACCCGCTGCCGCAGCCGCTCGGCCTCTGCGCGCTGGGCTTCCAGCTGCTGCCTCCACTGGGTGGCAGCGGCGTTGGCCTCTCGCAGGGCGCCCGCCAACTTGTTGTTGCTGTCCTGCAGCGCGAAGAACTCGGCCTCCCATTGCACCTCGCCCACGGAGCTGCGGGGACGCGGGGGTCGGCAGGGGGCAGAGCCAGGCGAGCGGACGTTAGTCTAGGGAAGGGGCCCGCACTGGGAAGGGGGTCGGAGTCAAAGCAGACTAGGGGGCGGGGCCAGGGCGGGCCGGTTAGGGGCGGAGCCAGGGCGGGGAAGTACCCAGGAGGCGGACCCTTGTCACGAGAGGAATCAGAGTAGGCGCGTGGTATCAGTCAGCTCAATGAGATAGCGGGAATGCAACAAAGGGTCAGCCATGGGGACGTGGCTAGAACGGGGTGGGTTTGGGAGGCTCCAGTGGGTTCAGAACTATCCGGGGGAGGTGTGGACCGGGCGGGGGCGGGGTCAGCACCAGGAAGGCGAGGTCAAGGCAGGAGAGCGTTGGCCTCCGGAAGCCGCAGGATTGGGGTCCCCAGGCCTTAGGTAGTCAAACCCGTCGCCTGTCGCTCCCCAGCAGTTTCTGAGAAGCTCCTCTCCCCGTCCTTCTTCTTGCCCCGCCCCTGTGTCCCGCCGTACCCCCCTCACCCCTCTGACAGCATCTTCTTGAGCCGCTCGCGCTCTGCTGGGCCAGGGGCATCTGCGCTCTGACTGCGGAACAATTTCTCATCGCCAGGGCCGTTGGCGCTAACGAGGGGGCTCGGAGGCACCTGAGTGCATGGGAAGAAGCAGGGTCACAGCAGTGGGGAGGGTGGCTTCAGTCAAGGACCTATTACCTATTAGGTCATGGTTGGGATCAGAGCTCGTGCTACCGAGGTCGTGGCAGGGTAGGCGTCCTTTCCAACACTGGGATCCAAGTGCGCCATTCCCCTCCTTACCCACCTTCCAGGGCTCCCCATGGCTCCTGGGCCCCCACCTTGCCTACCTGGGCTCTCACCAACCCCTCAGGAGCAAACCTGATTCAGACCAGTCTAAACCCACTGAAATATTCGATATCTGTTAAGGGGGAACAATCTAAAACCTCTGTGCTATTCCATAGGAGCAATGCCCCTCCCTGGGGCTGAACTTCAACATCCATTTCAGATTCTAACAGGAAGCCCTCTCCACCAGGCTGAATTCCTTATGAATCCACCTTGCTGCCTGGACCACTGAGCCTTGAGGGCAAGGGCTAGCCTGCGTTTTCATCTCTGTAACCCTTATGTCCAGTCCTGGGCCTGACACACAGTAGGTGGTCAATAAAATATGCTAAATAAATTAATTTGGGAAACCATCCAGGAACAGTTCTTTACTCTGGCCCCTACTTAGCCATCTCAACTTCCAGATTTTCACTCTGCCATATGAACTGGCTTTCTGGCTTTCTCTGAGCCAAAGCTAAGCCAAACCCACCCCACCCCCCCATCCCCAGACATGCTCCATGGCACCCATACCCTTCCTCTACGGTCACTGCCATGGATCTGTGAGCATTTGGTTCTGGGTACCAGCACAGTGCACAGACCCCCTGATATTGGTTAAGCGTTGGGCAGGCATGGAACAGGGAGGGCTGACCTGGTGGGCAGTGAGTCCCAGGGCTGGATTGGTCAGCTCCCCACCATCCTGAGATTTCTCCCTCGCCAGTCTTGCTGCTTCCTTCACTTCTTGGAACTTCTCAGCAAACTGGGCCGGGGGGGCGGGAGGAGAGGGACAGGAACAGACAATCGACACACCCCTGGCGTTCTCCTCTAGGGCCCCGCCAGGTCACCCCCACCCAGTGCCGGCCCTGTCACTTAGGAATAAACTTTAGGAACTGCGTGTATCCCCTAATCTCCTAAACTGGAAGAGTGGGAAGGTTTGGAAAATGATGCCCCAGTGAGCAGAGTCTGTTTGAGGGTAGGGGTGGGATGTTCATGGAAAAGGCTTACATTGAGCCACCATGAGAAAGGAATCCCCATTTCCTCTCAACCAGAGTTATTTCAACAAGGAGAGCCTTAGGTGGGTGCTGATCTGTCTTTAACGCCTGAGACATGTGTAAATATTTGTATGAAAAAGAGAAAGCAAGTCTTGGGCTTGGAACCCTAGCCAGTGAGAAATTGAATGCCCTGTTCTCATTTTTGTCGTGTTAATATTTATATTTGTTGCCTATGCTAGCTTTCCAGTTAAGGTAGGATATACTTTTTTTTCATCTTAAAATAAATTTTCTTAGTTTGAAAATGATTTTTTAAAGAAAACATTTACAGACATACAGCCACTTGATTTATGCAAAGGAGCCAGTGCAATTCACTGAGGGCAAGTGGTCTTTTCAAAACTGGCCCAAGAGCAACTGAATGCTCATGTGGGAAAAAATACTCCTACCTTACACCACTCACAGAAATAAATTCAAGGCTTAAATGTGAAAGGAAAACAAAAGCTTCTAGAAGAAAGAGAAGAAAATTGTCATGCCCTCAGCAGGACTCAGAGAGAACTAACTATCCAGGAAAACAATGGATAACAGAATACTGAAGTCTAGAGGCAGTGGAGGGTGGAGGGAAGTGATGATGTAGTGTTAAGGTATGTAGGGAAGCACCCAGCCCATTCCTGCACCAAAAGAGAGGCAGGGTATACCCAAGATTGGAGTGGGTGGCCTGTAGAGCTGGGATGTAAACCAGGGAACCATGAAGGGGCTTCTGGCTTGTCCAATTCTGCAGCTGGGAAAGTGGAGGCCCAGGGGCCCCAGTATATCCAGGAGAAGACCCAGGCTCAGCCCTGTCCCTCCCATCATGTACCGTCAAGACCCACCTGGGTCAGATGCTGCTCAGAGGCAAAGCCAAGGCCATAGACAGTGTTGGCACGACTGTCTGCCCACTGCCCGAACTTTTGGGAGGTTTTGGTAAAGGTCATGTTGGGGGTGACAGTGCTGTTGATAATGGCCTACGGAGAGGAGAGCAAAGTTCAAGGTTAAATGAATAGCTAATAATGAACATGAGACCCCCAAGGTATCACTTCATATTAGTGCTTTGGAGGCTCTTGGACTGAGCCATTTCAGTAGGAAGAAACTGAGGCCCAGAAAGGGTCAGGGATCCCTCCTCCTTCTGCCCCTGGGCACACAGCAAGACAACAACTAGACCCAGGCTTGTTGCTGCTACCCCTTGTCACCTGCTACCCAACCTAGGCCCCGCCAGGACCTTGGCACCCCCGATGCTGATGATTCGATAGACATTGCGGGTGGCATCATAGAAGTAGGAGACGGTGAGCGCGTGCTTGCCCGCGGGGATCCAGTTTCGTTTGGTGGCTGGGTCAATCTGGAACACGTGTGCACGTGTGCTGAAGATGGGCTGCTCCCTGTGTGGAGAAAGGACCCTCAGTGGGTGCCGAGTATCCTACAAGGGGCTGAGAGCCAAGCTGGTAGAGGCAGAGGCTCACCTGGCTGTGGACATTGGTCAGGCTGGACTGGATGGGCTCCAAGGGGCAACCAGAAGGATGGCAGGAGCTGCTGGTTCAGCCTCTGGGGGAAGAGGAGGGTGAGTGTACCCCCAGGACTGGTTGAGGGAGGCCAAGCAGGTCCAACCTCAGGACCCACTACAAGGTGCACCATTCATAGAACTTCATCAAAAAGGTGAGGGAATCGGTAGATCACTCAGAGCAAGAACACCCTGACTTTCCATGTAGAGAAGCCTCCACAACACCTTGGGCAGGAGATGGCTTTCTGAGAGGAGCCAGGTGGCCCCTAACATCTCAGCATAAACCTCTCATCATCCTGGTTCCTGGATCCCCAGTAAAGCCACCTCAATCTCTGGGTGCACCAAGGCGGCCAAGGCCAGCTCTCCTTCAGTACTTTCCCACGCATTCACCGGAGGCTCCCCACACCAGAGCCTCCAGCAAAAAGTGGGGCATCATCAGGTGCCTACTGGGAAACCAGTTCCCACTGGCCCCAGAGAAGGCCCCCTCCACTCCCACTCTAGGGCACAGGCACAGGCTTAGTCAAAGTCCAAATCCCCAGGGAATCTCCATCCTTGTAAAAAGACAGGATGCAGCCCCAAAAGACCACTCTGGTGCCCACTGCCAGATTGCCCATCACCATTCACTCCCCATACCATGGGGGGTTGGGTAGGACCCAGGACTGGGAGATGGTCTCCCCATTCTCTTTGCTGGTTCCCTATCCACCACCCCACAGAAACCAGGAACAGCTGCAAGGGGAGACTTCCTTACCCTCCCCCTGCGCGCTCAAACTTGCATGGGTTAGTCCTGACAGGATCTGTAGGGAACCCAGGAGGGACTTGTGGGGGCGGGGAAAATTGGGGGAAGGGACGCCCGGCCAAGTGGCCTCCGTGGTTAGAGGGGGATGCCCCCCCACATCCCCGCCTCCGTCCTGGGCAGCTGCTGTCCAGGTCACAGGGTCTGAAACCGGAACCCCTGGTGGGGGAGGGGCGGCAGCTCTGGCCCGGGTTGGGGGCGGGTCCGAGTCAGGCTGGGGCTCCACGGTGCAGGGGTCCCAGGAACTCAGGCCCTTCCGGCCAGGACGCTCCTACTGCGACTGGCCAGTTTGGGGAAAGTTACTCATCAACTCATCATGCGACTCAGACGCCGCGGGGCTCCCGGAGAGGACCCGACCCTGCCTGGTGCCTGGGATCCTCGATCGCCTCTGGGGGCGAAGCCCCACCCCATGCGCCCCAGTCCCAGGGCTTGATATTTAGTCAGGATTGAGTCCTCACCCGTATCAGGAGCAGGGAGCCTAGTAAGCGCCTCAACTTCGGGTCCCCCACCTTGGAATTCCCGAGATCCCCGCGACGCCCCGACTCCAGGTCAAGAACTTCGGAGATACATTATCTGCCTCCTCCAACCCCAGGTCCAGAACTTCGGGGATCCTCCGCATCGCCCCGATTGCTGAACTTTAGGGACCCCCTGCCACTCTTCCATCCCCAGGTTGGGAATTTCGGGGTCTCCTCTTACCGGTCCCCACCTAAGGTCTGGAACTTCGGAGACACCTTCGCAGCCTCCTTCGGGGAAGGAACTTTGGGAACGCCTAGCACTGTCCCCGACCCGACCCGAGCTCCGGAACTTCAGGGCCGCTGCGCCCCTTAAAGACTTGGAATTTCGGGGCTCCTCCTAGCCTCCGTGTCCGGAACTTCGGAGACCCCCGCTCCCTCCCCGGCCCTGGAACTTCGGGGCCCCTGCGCCCCGGCGCAGGCTTGGCCGGCCGGGCTCACCCTACCGGATTAGCGCCTCGTGAGTGTCCCGGCGGACACAGAAAAGGGCTGGAAGAAAAGTGACCAGACAACAAAACCACTTCTTGCATGTCTGCAATCTTCTTTCATCCCCTGATATGCTTGAGACTATTATGACTTCTGATAATGCTTTACTAGTTCAGTTTGAGCAAAACACGCAGACCAATGACAGCATCACTCACAAGCAATCCTGAGTTTCATTCCTGTAATGATCTCTCATGCCAGATAGGCCTGTTTCTTTGATAATTACAGTGTCCACAAACTTGTTCTTTCTCCAATAAGAATGGGGGGCTGTTTTAAGTAGGTAGCAGCTTCTATGCAGCACAGTCAAAAATATAGTGCATTGGGCTGAAATGAGTTGTTAAATGCTACACATCTTATGATTATGAAGCTGGATTAGTTTCTAAAATCCTTCCCAGTGAGGACTCACCTAATTACACATACACAGTGAGGCCTATACAGTTTATAAAAGGACCTGGACAGCAGTGAAAAGAAGTGCCCTCCGAATGGGGAGAGGGCTGGGGGTGGGGGTAAGAGCGGGGAAGGGATCTGGGGTGGGGGTGGCGACAGAGACCCAGACCCAGAGACAGAGAAACGGGGGGGAGAGGCAGAGACACAGGAGATAGACGAAGAACTACAACAATGTATCAAGACAACTGTGACAATGCCAAGGATGGTTGGGTGACAATGATAATTGGTGTGTTATAGGGTTCACAAATCCAGGGAGTGTCAGTGTCCAGTTCCCACCGAATGGTGAGTCCACAGGCCTGGATTGCCACATCCGGTCAGAGGGAGCCCACTCCTTCATATACTTGCCGGAAGCAGATCCTTCTGGGGCTGAGCCTTGATCACCTCCCCAGGCACCAGCCTGCCTCCGAGTCACACTGAGCCATCGGTTTGTGGGCAGCGGTACCAAGGTTCCTCAGACCCAAGGCCCACAGTTCCTTGAAGCTCTGAGCCTACAGTTGAGCTTTCTGACAACCTGAGAGGTTTTGCTTTTGGTCTCTGTCACATACCCTTTCCCTCTTATTTCTGTTCCCTTGACAAAATCACACATCGGACCTGGTAGCTACTTTCAAATTACCTTTAGGTTAATTCTGGTTAAGTATTACCTTTAGGTAAATACTTGTGCCCGGGGCCAAGATCTGAGTTTTCCTCCCTCCAAGCCTTTGCCCAAGCCGTTCCCTCCACCTGGAGAGCCCTTCAGCTCCTCTCCTCCTGGAAGCTTCTCTGACTATCCTGGGCTTGGAAGAGATCTCTCCCTGCCCTGCCCTACCCCACTCCCTCTTCCCTTTCTGTGAGATCCCTGACCTGTGTTACCTGTTTATTACTTCAGTTGTGGCCAGGTCTGGGAGCTTCCGGAGGGCTGGTCACTTCTGACGTTTCCTGGGGAAACAGGTGCAGACTCAGTTTCCCAGGCTGCTTCTAACTTCACGAGGCATCTGCACAAGCAAAAGACTTGGCTTCACTCTCAGGCCCGAAGCCACGAAATGCATGAACACTGTGGGGAACAAAGAGAATACCGTCTGTTCTGTGGAAAGCGTGACTTTTTCTTATTACCAAAGAAATAATAATAATAATAAAAAGTAACTGGAAAGGTGCCAGCAGGGCCAGCCAAGGCTTCTGGAAGCCTCTCAGGGTGTGCTGAGTGGTGGCCTGCTACGGAGCTGGGGTCACATGGCCATTCCGGCATGTGTGTGGAGTGGAGGCAGGCCATCTTTCCTCCTTATGTGGGCAGAAGGCAATAGCATGAGAGAGAGTGGGAAGCTGAATCCTTTCCTGGGTCCCCGTCAGGCTCCGGGAGGGGCTGGGATGGTGCTGGCCTTGAGCAGCCATGACCTGAAATCGTCTTAGTTGAGTCCAAACTAAGGGAATGGCTTTGTCAGTTTTAGACCTGTTTTCTCACCTGGAGAATGGGCCGATGTGCACAGGGCTGGGAAAGAGGCGGGGAGGATTCAGGTGACATTAGCACCTCCTTACTGTCCCCAGGGTGTAAATGAGTAGAGTGCTTCCCTGAACTGCCACCCCCACCCCAGCCTGAGCCCTCTTCTCCTTGGGGCTATCCTTGAAGATCAGGCAGATGTCACCAGTCCAGGGTGGCTGACTAGAAGTAACAGCTTTCCCCTGGGACTGAGGAAAGATGTGAGAGAATGAGCATCCTGTCATAGGAGGGAGCAAACAGAAACTAGAATGGTTTGTTTGGCTCTAAGGAAGCACTTTACAGAGTGATGCTTATGGCCTCTGACTAGTTACTGTGACTCAACCTTTGGAGTAAAGCTAAAGCCTATCTCCTCCCTGGAGGGTTTCTGTTCCACCAGATCAGGGGAAGTTTTCACTCTTCCCCAAAGCGACATGCCCAACTCTGTGGCACGGTTCACAGTGGCTACCTAGATCTGTTATGGCATGATTTCATTCCCATCCACCTCTTCCACAGCTCTGTCCCAGTACCTAGAGCAAGGCTGACCTGCAGTAGGAACTCTGTAAACACTTCTAGAAAGAAAGGATTCTAGGCCCAGCCTTGGAAGTCTCCAGAGTCATGTGAGCCAGAAGGTGACTCCCAGACCTGCCTCTTACCAGCACTGTGACTTTAAAGAAGCCGGTTTCCCTCCCTGTGCCTTAGTTTCCTCATCTATAAAATGTGCATAAGAACGGTGCCCACTTCTGAAGTCTCCTGTAAGGGTCCAACGAATCCTTGTGTGAAGAAGGCATGCCCCTGAGAACTTAATAAATGCTCACTGTTACAAACATATTTATTCTTGACTGTCTGGGTATGTGGTTTTGATCCTGAGCAAAGTTCTTAAGACTTTCTCTTTTAGAGGTTGAAGGGTCCCAACCAGGCATGAGCTATTAGGGACAAAATACATTTAACCTGGTATGATATCCTCCAAATATTTAGCTCTGGGCTCCTTATGTGCTCCTCCAGCCATCCTTCTCCTCCGTCTCACCATTCCCCCAGCCATGGCCAGCTGGTCCAGCCACCAGAACTTATCCTCCCGGAAAGCTCCTATTCATCCCTCAAAGCCACACCTCCAATGTTCTTTTCTTTGAAAAACCCTCCCTCCTCTTCCTCTAGATCTTCCCCAACACCCTCCCTCCTTCTGGCCCAACCCTGACCCCACGGGGCAGGGGGGTGTCTAACTGACTTCTCCAGCCTGGGAGCAACTCAAAGGCTGGGCTGAGGCTTCCTTTGGGTTAGGCATCTTGGCTTTGGGAGAATGCATGGAGGTCATGGCAGAGGAGAGCTAGATGACTCAATATTGGTGAAAGTGACCTTGCCTTAAATTCAGATCCAACTCAACTTCTGCCCAAGGCCAAAGTTAATTCATTAAACAATCATCCCCTCAAAAGTAATGAAGCCAGGCCCCCTCAGGCCCAGGCACGAAGGGGCTCAAGAAGGGGGTCCAGCTCTGGGTTAGAATTGAGCTCCTAGGATCAGGACCACTTGGAGATGGGAGGTGGCGGCATTTGCACCCCCATCCAACTCCAAACCTGGATCTGTGGTCTGAATCCCACAGACCTAATTTCCCTCATTGCCACGTGCACTAATTACCTCCGTGGTGCCAGGTGGCTGGGCGGGGCTGCTCCATTTTTGGGAGATAGGTCGGCCTGATTATTTTTGGATGTACCGTCCTTGAAGACTCTGCCATCCGCCAGCGTGAAGGGCAGAAAGTGGGGCGGAGAAATTGCGACCATGTCAGGAGGGACAAGGGACACTGGGAGACATGGTGGTTAGGCTGGCCCAGGGGATCCCTGAGCAGGGGCTTTAGGCCTGAGGCCTGAGGGTCTTTGGCATATAGCTGGAGGTGGCAAGACCTGGAGGGGGTGAGAATCAGCTCTGAGGTGGACTGGTCTGGAGGCCTGTTTTAAACATGGCAGCATTGGTGGGAGAGGGTTTTGGGTGGGGGGATGATCAGACGGGCCTGGTTGGGAATACCAGTCATTACTGGTGTGCTGTATGTTTCGGGACACATGACCTCCTCTCTTTGCACCTTTCCTAAGGGATCAAATGGGGACAATAACTCACAAAGAGTGCTCTGGGCAGAGGACACAGCATGTGCAAAGGCCCTGAGGTAGGGATGGGCTGGGTGCATGAGGAACGGTGGGGACGTCAGGTGGTCCGAATGAGAGGAGAGTAGGGGATTCTGAAGGCTGAGGGGGTCGCAGGCGCCAGGTGGAGCCTCTTGGGACATAAGGTGTGTGGATTTCATTCCAAGGGTACTGGGGAGCCATGGGAGAGTTTGGAGCCAGAGAGGAAGGGACTTGATCAGATTTACACTGCAGGCTTCAGGCTGGGTTTTAGTTCTTAGTAAAGATCTGGGTGTTTGTACACGTGCAAAATGGGGCAATCCCTTCCTTTCTCTGAGCCTCAGTTTCCCCATCTTGGGTTGAGTCCTGAGGCTTGGACAACCCCAGCACACACTGGACCCTCAGCCAGGGAAGCTCCCCTCCCCTCAAATTCCCGAATTCTGGCCGAACAGCCTACGTGGCCTCTCCCTCGCCTGCCCTCTCCTCCTACTCTCCTTCTGTGGCCTTGAAGGAACAGCTGTGGGAACAGAGAGCGGGAGGCCTCAGGGAAGGCTGAGAGGAGGGGCTCCGGGGGCCGTGTTCCTGCTCGGTGACAGCCTACGCGGGGCCGCTGGGTGCCGAATGTTCTTGCAGGAACTGGGTGACTCAGATGCAGCAGCCACTTCCCTCAATCTGCTCGGGGAGGCCATTTCTGGTCTCCAGGCACAGTCTGGAGTCAGGATTCTCCTCTCTGGGCCACCCCTAAATGAGCCCTCCCTTTACCCACCCTCCTCCATCCCTTAACAGGCTGCTTTGCTCACTTTGCTGCTCTGGCACCTCAGAGGCTGCTGCATCTGAGCCACCTCTATGGCTCTCTTGGAGGCTTCAGAGGGAAAACCTAGCTTCTCATCTCCATTGGCCACACCGCTGGACCCCACATC